TTCCAAATAGAAACTCTCACCTCCTTCAACATATGATAAGAGAAGGCTAATACAAGGATAATCTATCAAATTTGGGTAAATCTGTGGATTGGATTTTCCCAGAGATCTGTTTCTTTGAGACTTACTCTCAAGTAAGTTGCATGATCTATTTATTAGAGATAATATAATATATTAGAGACATTATGATAAATATAATGAAGATTACCTGGCCTTGTCATTTTAATACCAATTTATGACTACTGATGTATTTAAAAATTGTCACTATTTTTAATTTGCATCTACCCCCATCCCGTTGTGGAACACAATGGATTTGGACACATGGATTTGGATTTGGATTTTCCTTTACAGTGAAAGAAATGTGTAAACCTGTGAGATTCTGAGTAAAGTTCTTTTCAGACTAAGACAACATAACGGGGTGCTTACATGTATATGCACCTTCTAGAATATGTAGAGAAACAGATGACTACAGACAGAAATTCATAATGGTTATGTGTGATTGAAATTTCTTTGCTGTGACAAAAGACCTGAAATATGAAGTAAAGTGAATAGTTTTTTTTTTAACAGTTACACAGTTTTTGATACATATCTGTTTGTTTCTATTGATATGGGTTACAGAGAAACAAAATGTAGGAGTTTGGTAACCATGTGGCAGAGGGGACAGTTCTCATCCGGAAGGAAGGAGAGACACAGAGGAACAAAGATTGAGGTAGAGATAGAGAAGTTCTCTCCAAGGGCAGAGGCAAAATATGTGCTTCAATGTTGTACATCAGTGGCCTACTCTCTTCCAATCATGGCTGAATCGAGGAGCAGCTATGAAGTCATGGTCATGATCCAATTGCCTTTCCATAAATCTTTTTCTGAATCTTGATGTCCATAGCCCAAATATTTAACACCTGAGACTCTGGGAGTTGATTTTGTAAGTGTAATGAAATGTTCATTTCTTACTAGCCAACAAAAGAGTGGAAATCATGAAAGGTAGCTTATTTGCTCTGCTATACATGCAGCAGCTTCTCAAATGCTCCATACATCACACTGTGATTTCAGGTAGTGCTAGATGCTTAGGATAAGTGGCTCAACTCTGAGTTTGATTCAGCACAGCATTGAAAAGGTCACATATCTCATGGATCCTGAATCTCCCTATGTAATTTATGTGATTTACTTGCATATTATACATGAAATAGTACATAGCTTAAATTAGAAAATTATATATTTCTGTGAAAATATATGTGATGTTGGATTATTTCATGCAGCACAATAGTGCTTAGCAGTGCTTAGGATTGAACTTGAAAATACAAACTAGAATCTGTTAATGTGTACGTGCGTTAAAAGTTGCTCAGTATCCCTTTTTTTTTTTTTTTGGTCGTTTTTAGATGGGTCTCTCTGTATCCCCAGCTGAGCTGCTGTCCAGGAACTCACTATGTAGCCCAGGCTGGTCTTGAACTCTGTATTTTTATAAGTGAAAAAAAACAATTTTTTTCTTTAGTTTTTGTTTTTAAGTGATATCATGAAAATGTTTGATTTATAAAATACATTTGAGTAATGATCCTTTCAATTCCCAACTTTCTGTGGGTTTTCTTTCTTCTTTTTCTCCACTAGCTACAAAGGCATCATGGTACTATTCTTTCTCTGCATTTATTTGTTCAGATTTATACATATTTATCATCTCAGTTGCTCTTGAATACTTTGGAGTGTCTACACACATCTTATGAATTCCACACTCTGAACATGTCACTAACATATTTTGTATCAGATTCAATATAACAGTCAACTACAGAAATTATGTCCTTAGAAAAATGGCAGTATACAACCCCTGGTCACAGGGGTTTTCCCAACACATATTGTAATAAACTCTGAGGACTGTATTTGCATTGAGAGGAGATATAGGAATTGAATTCTCATTAATATGCAGTTATTCTGGAAAAATATAGATAATTTCTAGAGAAGGGTAAATGTGATACAGATAAAAGTGATGTTTCGAGGCTGTCTTCAGTTCCTGAAGCTCTGAGAAATGAAACTCTGATGGCAAAACTGAGTTACCACTATGCAGTAGTACTGATCAGGCCTAGTTGAATGACTTAGGTTGTATTTTTCTGTTACTATTAGGCAGAGACAAGATTCTTGTTTGAGGAGTACATACAGTCATGGCACTAGATGTCATCTTAGCCAAATAGATATTTTTTCAAAAGGCTCTGAGAGAATGTCTTCACAAGATCAAGCAAGCCTGTGCTGTGATCTCACACAAACAGATAGTCTTATGAGCAGA